CTTTCCCTATTCTTTCTTTTCCATTTTGCACAATAGTGGATACCACCCTTCTCAATCCCCTCCAAAACTCAAGAAACTTGTTCACAATCCCAATCCTCCCCACACCCCCAAAAATCCTCATACATAGAGCTTTCACTTTCACTTTTGCCCCCCAATTGTGTTGAAACATAGCCTCCACTCCACTCCACTTTGTTCCTTAATCCAGAGCCAGAAACTAATCTCTCGAGATACTAAGATTCATTTACAGAAACCACGTTGTTTCTAATGAGTCCAACCGATAGTCTGAGACTAATTAATCCCTCGACATATTGAGCGGTTGAGTTCAAGATATGTTCTAGACTAATTAATTTCTCGAGATACTAAGATCCATTACAGTGATTGAACTCACCACTCAAGCTGACAATCAAAGATTAATCTTTGGAAATACTGAGATCCATTTACAGTGGTTGAATTGAACCCAAGATATATATATATATCCTGAGAGACTAATCTTTTGAGATAGTGAGATCCATTTAGTATTGCTCTTCATTGCATTCTTTGATGGAGTATTGGTTGAGGGAGCTAGAAGGGAAGCAAGCACATGACCCTTTAATGATAGAGAAGATGAGGGGTAGTGAGAGATGTGTGTGGGTGCCAGGGGCAGTGATAGTGGGAGCAGGGCCATCAGGGCTTGCAACAGCAGCACACCTAAAGGAGAAAGGAGTGCCAAGCCTAATCCTAGAGAGATCCAACTGCATAGCATCTTTGTGGCAGCTAAAGACCTATGATCGCCTCCACCTTCACTTGCCAAAGCAATTCTGCGAGCTTCCCTTGATGGGATTCCCCTCCGACTTCCCCAAGTACCCCACCAAGCAGCAGTTCGTAGACTACTTGGAGAGCTACGCCCGGCGATTCGACATTCGCCCTCGGTTCGGCGAGACGGTTCGCCGGGCGGAGTTCGACCACACCCTCGGCTTCTGGAGGGTGAGGAGCTCAGGTAAGAAAGAATTAGTGACAGAATTTGTGTGCAGGTGGCTGATTGTGGCCACTGGGGAGAATGCAGAGGCTGTGGTGCCCAATATTGAGGGAATGGGGGAGTTTGCTGGGACAATAAAGCACACAAGCTTTTACAAGAGTGGAGAGGAGTTTAGAGGGAAGAGGGTGTTGGTGGTTGGGTGTGGGAATTCTGGGATGGAAGTTTGCTTGGATCTTTGCAACCATAATGCTACTCCTTCTCTTGTGGTTAGAGATACAGTAAGAACTCCCTCTCTATCTTTCTCCCTTTTATTTCATTAAATGTGCAAAATTCTAATTTTAGATATAGAAGTATTTTTGAGAGTCTGTTTTAAGCTTTTATACATGAAGAACTGTATTTAAATTTGGTATCTCATTTTTCTATGTAAAGTTGTGGGTTTTGGTTAAAAGTTTACACGTCCCTCCTGTTTTGGAATCGTTGATTTAACATGAACAAGGCTAAAACAAATCACCAGCTTTTGCCTTTTTTTCTTTAATGGGTTTTGTCGAATTTTGAATATGGGTTGCTTGGTATGTAAAACCCAGATGGGAGTTTTTATTTCCTTGCCACCTCGTACAAGAGTTTTGACTTTCTGATAGAGGAAAAATATGGTATACTGTTCAAAAGCTCTTGAATCGAAATTCCATGTCACTAATCACTATGTTGTCATTACAAACACGGGAATTGCGAGGCTTGTTATTCTGTTCATTCTGAAAAAAGAAATTAATTATAGGGAAAAAAAAAGGTGGTATTTGTGAGGCATAACATAATATGCAAGTAACCAAACCACCTTGCCTATGCTTGCATATAACATATAGCTTCATGTTCCGTTCATGAAATATGATTGAGAATTGGGTAGGTATGTATTAAATAAATTTTCATCTTGAGAGCACCCCTTAATAATAACAACAATAATAATATATAAAATGATGATATTTAACTTTTCTTGGGATTCTCAAGCGTGCGCATCGTGGGATAGAAGAAGCATATAAGATGGCCAGTGATTTTCCATACCCAGTTGCTTTTCTTCCCTTCTTTTTCCTTCCCATGATTATTTTCGTAGCAAAAGAGATACTCTTTTTCCCATTACATATTTAGATTAGAGTATGGCCTGCAAACAGTTAAGGCCTACCAAGGGCTAAAGTACATCAGCTCCTATATACCTTTTTCTCCTTTTTCTTCCACTCTTCTTTTGAAGCTGTATCCCTTCACACAACATACTAAAACTCTTAGCTGTTATGATGGGGAAATACTTAGATACTCTCCCCACACGTTTCATATTTCAACTAATTCTTTTATATAATATATATACCTTTACTATCCTTATGTACCAATGTGTGTATAGATTACATGGGAAGTGTGAATACTCTTCTATCCTAAACATCTTATTAACATTTATCATTTATTTCAATGTATTCTTCCATCACATTATTATGTATATACAAGAGTATTTATATGTGAACACTCAACAATTTTATGTGTTTTCTATACCTATTATTATTTTCTATTCTTCTCTTTCTATCATATCATATCATATCACTTATCATATATATAATTTTCTTTTTTCTGTCTTACTTTTATAGGTGTCAAATGGGTATTATGGGTGTTTATAGGAGTATTGTATATACAATTTGATTCATTTTTTTTCTCTCCCTATAGGTGTCAAATAGGTTAGAATATCTACCTACATCATTTTTACATATTAAAGAGACTCAAAGAATAAAATGAAATTAATATAATAACTAAATATTTGGTCATTCAATTTATGTGCCTAATGCATAAGATAAGATAGATAAATTAACTACAATACGTGGATACTCCAACAATATAAACACTCATTTAACATCTTTTTATTTCTCTCTTTTTTGGATTAGTGCAACACACTGCATTCCTAAAGAGATTATCCATATGAATAACTTTATAAATTCTTTTATGGGGGCATGAAGGTACATATCTTACCACGAGAGATGCTGGGAAAATCAACTTTTGGGTTGTCCATGTGGTTGCTGAAGTGGTTTCCAATTCGGTTCGTGGACCGGTTCCTGCTG